CAGTCCTCCTTTGGTGACGAAGGTAGCACAGCGTGTGCTCGGAGGCTTGTGAAGGAATCTGGCTCCTCTTACACTCATATGCACATCTAAGCGTTTTCCAAGCCCCGACTGCCCCTGTCACTGTGCTTCTGACTGCTCGTGTGTGTGGTAGTAAGGGTGGAGGGGGGGGGGGGGGATCGTTTGGTGGTTGGTTTTTTTTGGGTTTCAAATTCCGGGTTTGCCTGTGCAGTGAGCCGTGCTGTGGGTGATACTGAAGAAAAAAAAGAAAAAAAAAAAAACTCTTTTGAAGCCAGCTTTTCAGATGTCACCTCTCCTCATGTTGTTGAAGTTGAGAGTTTGTCAGCATTAGTTTTCCCTTGGGAGAACACAAGAAAGTCTCTGTAACCCCCCTCCTGCTGCAGTGCAGCAAAAAACCTCTTATTGCACACGGTCTGCATGGGATCTCTGTTCCGGGGGCCCAACGTCGCTGTCGAATGCCTTTTTTCACATGCATACCTGATCAACGGGCCGCACTATTATCGCTTTCTTTTGTGTGATGTCACAGTTTTAGTGCACTCTTATTTTATCCCTAGCAGGTTATTCCCATCAAGGGAACAGCGGCAAAACCTCCAGGAACATCACACACACCCGTAGACCCAATACTTCACAAGCTATGTTTGATGCATCTGTCTCCAAGCATGGGACTGACTATGTTATTCCTCGGCACATTAGTGGAGGGCCTCCAGCTGAGTGTGGCTGACAGACATCTGGAGGAGAGAGATAGCTGAGATGTGGCAGCTTCTGTCGCTGTATTGATTCAATCTCCAACACTGACATTCAGAGCAGACACAAGCCAAGCTTTGGCAATCTTATGTTCTCTGGCTGTATGGATTTTACGGATAAAAAAGAGAAAGTTATGGTAGGTGCCTGCTGAAGTTTGGCAGTCAGCGCTGTAAAAAAAAGTCTGCTCTGCTTGCCCTCTGGAAGGAAATATATTTACTATGTCATACCCTGTAAAAACTCTTTGGGAATAAATAGGAGGATAAGAGGAAGGGTTTCGATTCATACATATGCATAGCTGTGACATTGTGAACTCCAAGGGTCAGCGTGGAAAATGATGACTAATTATGTTTGCCGTCTGTCATATCAGAAGATGTGCTGAGCACAGAAAGCCAATGACCCCCTTCCCCTTTTCCCATTCTTCTTTTGTCCAATCTCTGTCACTCTCAGCTCGCAGTCGCATCTTTCTTGCCAATTTAAATTTCCCTGTCAGGCAGTCTGCTTGCTGTCTGTGTGATAAAGCTGTGACATTTCCTGTTTGTTGACTCAGCGGTTAACTTTACTAAGTGTCCATCTTTGTCACTCATTTGCTTTTCCTGCCATTGAGTAAATAAAACAGTATTCTGGTCAACCAAAATCACACCAATCAATAAAAGTGATGTGTGATTTGAGTGTGCAGCCTTACTCTTGCATGTGCCGTCAGCTCTTTGGCTCTTTTGATCTGTACATTGTTGTCTGCAAATACAACACAATCATAAAGGTTAAATGCAGCAATTTAGACCATGAAGGCTGAGAGAGATGGAAGCATGTATTCGAGTTAAAAAATCAAAAGATTGTATTTAATCTAAAAAAAACAGAAAATACTTTAATAATAATAAAAGCACCTAAAACAAATCCAGGATCCGTGTGCACATGAGACAGACAGAAAAAGGAAACCTCAGATCCTTGTGAATTTCCTTCCCTCCTGTCACCATGTATGTTCTCCAGCTGGCTGCATTAAAGGGATGAAGAAAGTCTGTCTTTCACACCCTTGTCGATCTTTGATGACGTGTCTATGGTCAGGAGGACTGTGTAGAACCGTAGTTAACAGGGAGGTCAAAGAAAAGAGAACACAGATATTGGAGCATAGGAACTAGAAACAAAGAGACATTGAACTGGTTGAGACACAGGGAGAGACATGGACTAAAGTTAGAAAAAAAGTGGCAGAGAGAAGTAGCAGATGAAAAGAAAGGGACAGAATGGTCCGGCGGGCTCTGCATGTCAACATCAAGCTGTGAGCTCTGCGGTTTGTTAGCGGAGCCTCCTGCTGCTATTTAAGGTGTGAGGGAGGAGACGCTGCTCACCGCACAGCCTGTTGGGAACTGTGGCTCGCCATCTCCAGTACTCTGATTACTTGCAGCTTCACTGAGTGGTGACTCACAATAGATTATTGGGGGGTAAACCACAAATTAGTTGCTCATGTTCCTGCTGGGAGAGGAGCAGAGCGAAGAAACAGCAGGATGAGAGGGAGAAACACATGCAGTATTGCCATTAACCACAAGGCTTATGAGAATTTAGATAATATACAATAGTAATACAAGCAATTTCTGACATTTGAAAAGCTTTTTAGATCTTCTTAGATCCAGCTGTCTCCTATTTTTTCCTATACTTAGTAAAAGCACAAGAGAAGATGAGATTGGCCTTATTTCTGATAACTGAAAACGTTGGACGTTGACTTTTACGAGCACTCAATAAAGATTCCTTTCGAAAGAGTCGAAATGTTTGCTGAGGCCTTCTACCTATAATCCTCGTTGACACCAGTGACAGTGGATTGCACTGGGTGGCATAATTATGTGAGCAGAAAAAAATATTTTACAGCTTTTGCTGTGATAGTGACAGGACAACATCCTAGATGTGAAAAGTTCATCTGCACTTAACAGCACCTGTTAGGTCTGCGGAGCTTTGGAGTTCTTTTTCCCCCCTACCTTCCTCCCGGGGGCTAGATCAGAAGTGGATCCAGCTGGTGACAATTACCCTCATCAGGAGCAGCCGTAAGAAGGAGCAGATCCATGTGGCAGTTGCCAGATGATTTCCTGTCTCAGCGTGGTACAGGCAAATCCTGTAGTTTCGGTGCGTTTCGTGCTCAAATAAAACCAAGTATTATCTGTGCACCTTGTTTCACTCCAGAACCCTGGATTCCTCCCAGCCTTCCTGCCTCTGTGCTGCTCCCTCCAGTAAAGGTCCACTGAAACCATCACCAAAGCTGCCGCTCCAGACCAGGACCATCGCCTCCGTAATTCTATTGTTCCTTGGAATTAATGAATCGTCTTTTAATTCACCTCTGTTATCTACAGTTGTGGACTGCTTAAGAGTATTCAGCTATGGCATGACAGCACCTTGATATTCTGACAATCCTAAATATCCATTCCCTGGAGAGGGAACGTTTCAAGACAGACAGTAGGCAAAACAAAAGTAAAATCCTTGAAATGATCAAGCGATTTTAGCTTAGCTATGGTTCGTAGAGACTTTGTTAGACTCAAGCCGACCGTACCGCCCCTCACTGACACAAAGCAGCCGCACGGGCAGTTTATGCATTCAGCAGGATTTGTTGACACGCTGAAACAGTATTCCGTTGCTGCACTTCTCCCTTCATTTCTGTTCTTACGGTGGTTTTGTTAAACTGGCCCGCTAAAAGAATACTTTACTCAGTGGAAAATGGATCACTGGCTATCAAAAGCTCTCACCGTAAAGAATGGGGTTAAGAGCAAAAAAAAATCAAATAAACATGAGGCAGATTCTTTTCCGGTTGACATAAGAACGACCCCCATTTGCACATATCAAAAGTTTCCTTTAGGTTTTATCATGGAGACTTAGTCATCTGAGCATAACGGGACTGTGGAAACGATCTCTTGGCTGTAGCTGTTCATCATCATCTCCTCCCCTCTGTCTTGTCCTCTGCAGCCTGCTGACACTGATGGTTTCTAAGTGAGTGTCCCTCTCTCACTCTGTCATAATCACTGCTCTTTATGATCGGTTTGCCCTCTCTGCCCTTTCAAGATGCGGCATGTAACGAGGGCTCTGGAGGACTTTGTGAGTGGGCTTTTTAGCTATTCAGACAAGACCGGCTTCACACATCCCACGCTCTCTAACTTGACTCCCGACCAATACCTTTCAGCTGAGCACAGTGATTGTTTGACCTGCTCTTAAAGTCACACTCTGAATGGAGCGGGAGCAGCCACAACTCTCGGCTTTTTAGGGCCTCTTTGCTCCGTGTCAATTGATTGACTAATTTAACTGAGCTCTATGGATGCTCAGTTCAGATCCATGCACAAATATTAAAAAAGTACTGTGTGTTTTACACCTGCAGGGTCTACGTGAAGGAAAAAATAAAGAGTAGTGCGCTTTTAGGATAATGAACTGAAAAAAAGTTTTGATTTAGTCTTTCGTTATCGAATACAGCTCTAATCTCTTGATTATAGTTAACATATGTCCATTACCTATGCTGTGTTATACACCAATGTTTTGAATCGACCACTGTACCCAAAATCCGATTGAATACATGTATTTATGACGAATAACTTTTATTTATCAATTAACTATTTTTTTATTCAAGCACTTTACCAAACAAATGTTATAAATTGCTTTTTAAGGGGTTGGTACGCACCACAGTAACACTCCCCCCTACACACACATTTGGATAAATGGATAACAAATTTTTATACAGATCCTAAAAAGAATCCAAAAAAACAATAGAAATATCTCGATTTTGCCCTATGATGTCATGTGTAACCAGATTTATTACACTATCTAAATATGATCAATTAAAGGAAGAATCTAGTGAATTTTTTCATTTAACTGTTACTATTTTCATTAATGCAATTGCTCATTGCAGTTCATGCTATAACCAAATTCAATGTTAATGTGAGAGACATAATATGATGCAAAATATTTTTTAAAGCTAATAACAATAAGAAGGTAGCTGTAGCTGCACGTGTTCACTGCTTTTAACAGCATGGCTTTTTGTTGTCTTTTGTATTATTCACTGCTTTGAGTTGACGCAAGTAAAACGCCAATTTTTACTACATTTTTGGTGACGAGGGCATGGTATGCAAAAGTACTGTAGTTGTATCTATCCATATGAACGTGAGGGAATGTGGGAGTCTCTGTTTAAGCCCCTCCCCTTTCCTCCTGTTGACCTATGAAACGTTCCCTTTCCACGCGCGTGCTTCGCACGTCAGCTCTCTCTGGTCTTGCGTGTCAACATGGCGGCATCCATGGCATCCCAGGCTGCTGCAAGAGGACTGAGGACAGCTACCTCAAAGCACGTACTACTCGACAAACTAAAGGTAGAATTGCATTGTGTGTCTCCGGCATCTCGTGCCTCTCCTCGTGCGAGTTGTTTGCGGGGTTTTTGGTCCGTTGTCACCGTCTCTGGGAGCAGGTAGCATGGCAGCAAAGCTAACAGGTTAGCATGTGTGTAGAGGATGTTTGACAGATCACAGTTCACCACAGGGGTTGTGCTGTGGTGATGTAACTGGGCTCCCTTCACTGTACATTAACTAATATTATACATGTGACGGAAAAGGGATGTTGGTCAAAATGATAATAAGTTATTACGCTTTTGTGTGGAAAATGTATAGAATTGTTGGTTAATTAAGCTCTGTCTGGATGTTGGAAATTGCAGTCCATTTGTCTTTATCATGCTATGCTTGTATATCTGTCTATGTTCATGATTCAACTTTATAAGTGCATAGATAAAAAAAAACAAGCAAACAAACAGAAAGACTTATAAGAGTCTACGTTTTTGCTGACCATTAATTTGACCGCATACCTTGTAATGATTGCTCATTTTGAAAAACAGCAGACCTTGCTCTCAGAGCATAGTTCAGACCTTTGGACTCCAGCCCCATGTCAGATAAGACTGCACTACAGAGCATTACTCTAGCACTTAGATCTTCTCTTGTTTGTTTGTTTGTGATCTTAATGAATAATCCGTAAATTGGATTAATTTAGTCGTCAAAAGGTCGTCACACAGTCAAAAGTGATCCTTTCACACCATCATTTGTCCAGCAAAGAAGAAATGTAGTGCGGTGACATCAGAATTTAGCAAGACCCTGAGAGTTGTGCTTCCAGAATAATTTCCAAAGCTTTTAACACAGCTTGAAAAATTCACATAACTTTTTCATGCAAGGATTCTCTCAAATTGTCATTTCTCTAATAAGTCAGTGGCAGAGACTTTGTTTTATCTTTCGTGTCTTTTGTGTGTCTGACCAATGTTTGTAACAGTCAGGTTAACACACAGGCCTGTTGATACTGCAAACACAAGTCCAGTGTTTACTCAGACTAGAACATCCTGCTTAACTTATCTCAAAGTTTTTTGTTTTTTTTACTACTCTTTAACTGAATGACTGCTGTGTAGCAAGACTGCAAGAAATTAATCATAACATTCATATTGGATTGTAAACGCGATAAAATTATCCGTATTACATCAGCATATTCTTCTTATTTTTCAATGAGATAAATGAAACCGGAACAAAAAACGTTTTTTTTGTTCTGCCACCATCTCCATAGACTCAAGACTTCACTTGATGCTTTTAGGTTAATGTCAATTGAAGTTTTGGAGATGAAACGGGGTGAACAATGAAGCGATCAAACACTCATACACAACAGTTGAGTGACTTTCTTCCACTTGTCTTCATTTCTCTCAAACTGAGAGACATGAAACTCGTGCCTATCTGCTAAAGCAAGAGTCCTCTTTTCCCTCTACTGGACTCAACCCCTCTCCTCTCCACATGGAGAGATGAAGGGGGTGTATGGCAGCCTCCCAGCCCTCCCACTGACAGACTGCTGCTCAGAGCTTTCGCCTCCCGGCGGCCTTCGCTCCTCTGGTTCAGAGGCCTGCCGCTTTGCTGTGAACCTCCACCTTTCAACTTTGTTCTTTGCACTGCTCTCAATTCTGCAGGGAGGGCGGCCTTAGTAGAGGAAATGAGCTCACTTCTGAGGAAAAAGCCGTATTAATGACAGCCCTCCAGTAACCGAAGGGCTTCTCCTTCAGAGCTCAAGTTCCATCAAAACAAATTGTACATCATTTAAAGCCCTTTTTAACTGCTTAAGTGAAGTTGCAGCATCAATGTTTGATCAAATGCATTTTTTTCCCCTGAACCATTTCTAATGATTTGACATGGTTGAGATGGAGAGAGTTGGACAGCGTATTTCTCTCAAGCCACATTTCAGTGGTAGAGAAGAAATGTGGTTTATACCAAAATATTATAAAGACTAATGGCGATAAAAGTTTTTAGCTGCCACTTCTACTCAGGGAGGAAGTAAACAATATCATCCAGTCATGTTTGTGTCTGAATAAGATGAAAAATGAGCTCGGCTGCTGCTTTGTGAGCTTTCTTTGACGAGGTTTCAGAACTCGCTTGTGTAAAAAAAACCCGGCGAACCCCCATTAACGGGGCTTTTGGATGCCATGTGGAAGTGTTTAATCTTACTCCAGTTATGGGTATGTTGTGGCTCTCGGAGCACTGAGGAGGAGTATAATTTTGCAGATTTAATCGGCTCATTTTGATCTACTCATATTTTGGATTTATTCTTCAAACTGCTTTCATGGTGTAGAAATGGCAGTATTGTTGTTGTTTTTGAATAATTTAAAATTCTGTTGTTGCCTCTAGTCATGTAGTTTCAGTAGTCTAAAGTGTGTGTGTGCGTGTGTGCTGGAAGAGACGATGGATTTTTTCCAGTTTTTAGACTCTAGATTGACAATAAAGCACATTATCTTACTCTCAGATACAACTTTGTCCTTAACAGAGGGATAGCTTTATTTTCTTGCTTTCTCTAAATGTGGCATGTCGGACACAAAGTGTAGATATACATTGGCATGTATATATTTCGAATACGGAAAAGAAACACTAGTGCAGTCTTTGAAAAGCGAAAATACAAAAGGCATAACTCAAAAACTGATATGTTTTCCGGATCTGAAAAGGAGTTGGGAAGAAGAAAACATTGCCATAAATTCTTTCAATTCTTTTCTTTTCTTTAATTAAGTTATACAATAATTGATAGTATTATTGCTAAAAATCTCCATGCGGTTGCCTGTGAGACCGCGATAACCTCTGTTTGTCCAGATGTACGCTCTGAAACACTGTGCATCTTGTGGTTGTGTTCATATTGGAGCCTCAGACCATCATTTCTTTGGTGTTTTGCCTCGTTCCCGCAGCGTACATGCATGCTGAGCACCATATCGCCTGCATCACGCAATGGATATGTGACAGCAACCGAAAAAGTTTTAGCAGTGGCTCGCTATTTAAAAGTAACTCCAGCAAAACTTCTAATCTCCCTTTTGCCGGCTCTTGTCCCTGCATCTTCCACTTGTCTCTCTCCCTCTCCTTTTTTTTTTCTGTCCCTCGCTCTCCATTCAACAAGATGATAAGAGTAATGATCTGGGATTCTCTCTGGTCTGCAGCACAATATCAGAGCCCGAGCTGATTGACAGCCAGGTATCGCCACAATAGAATCAAATCGGCTCTGGCAGAGAGTCGGCCACGCTGAGAAATTCAATTTGCCACGATTTGTCAACAACAATGCAGAGGACGCTGCAATATTCAGATGGTGAGGAGGCTCCGCAGTGCTCTTAAAGGTGTGCTAGGATGTTGTTTTTTTTCTTTCTTACTCATAAATCAAATCTTGAGTTCTTGTCTGCAGGCTGAGATAATCCTCGGGGCTGTTCCTCACCAGCCGCGCCACACTGGTGAATTGTAAATATTTGCAAAGTTTTTATTTATTTAGTTATTTCATTTTAGTTTAGTAGTGCAAATCCAGCAGTGTCAAAAGTCCAGCGTGGCGTGAAGGGCTACGCCGGGAAGAAAAAGGTGGCGCACTGAGGCTGGGTCCTGAATGTTTTACAGAGGGAGGGGCGGGGTGTGTGTGTGTGGGGGGGGGGGGGGCTCCGCTTGCAGCCACTTCTTTCGCTGGAACTTCAAACGACGAGAGGTTTTCCCCCCCATCTGTCTCAGCAAGAACACATTTACATTTCCTCCCCGCAAGGGACACTGGAGGACGAAGTCAGCTCTTACTGGATTTGAATATCACTCTCCAAGGTTAATAGCCATTTCTGTAGCTGATGTGCTGCTTTGGCTTTTTCAATAATTTAGAGCGGCTGCAGTCATTAGGAAACCCGGCCAGCCTCTGAAAGCAGGAACGCTGCGAAAGAATGCGGCATGGCCATCAGCTCAAGTCCTGCTGTTGTTCTGCCGCCGATAATGAGGGGAAGAACAAGCCATGCAGAGGAGGGGTTAAAAACAGACAAAAACACAAAACAATGTCAGCCAGTGCTCACAGCTGTGCAGAATATTGACCATTACCGTCAACCTACCCATCACCTTCCAAATTATACCCGCAAACACATCTTTGGGCACGATTTGAATTTCAAAGAGGAGTTTGCTCACGGCCAGTACCTGTGAATTTTCTGCCTGACACGAAGGGCCGATTTGCCCAGAGCAATGCAGAAGAGTTACCACCGAGTCCTTCTTTCTGTCAGATTTGAAGGTTTTTCAGTCCAAAAGGCAAAACTGGCCCGATCGCGCCTCAATGTAGACATAGACCAGACATCAGGCGGAAACGGAGACGGACCCGCTGGTGAAGCAGAGCAAAGAGAGCCACAGCTCTATTTAAAATGATTTTTTCTTATTTTCATTGCAAAGAAGCAAAATAGGAACCTTATTGTTTCTTGCAAGCAGTTTTTAGAGTTATTCCAGTACAGTTTTGGATTGTTTTGTCATGAGGTGTGTTGTTGTTTTTGTTTTATTAGCACAGAGGCAGACAGAACGTGAGCATGAAAACATGTCGATACAAAAGTTTAATACCCCGAGTTGTAAAAAGATGCCAGAAAAGCAATGATGTAAAGAGAAGCAGAACATTTTCCAGTCAAAAGCAGACCGTCCGCTCCTTCTGCTGAGTATTCATGTCTGAAAAGTCTATGGTGACTTCCCTTCTCCTAAATCATTTTTGGGAACATCTTAATGTGTGTGTTTAAATAAATAATTAAAAAAATATATATATATTTATATATAAATTTATATTTATTATTTCCTTTAAGAAATGACTGTTAAATGAAACGTGCTATTTTTTTGTATTAAAATGAAGGTTGAGGCTTTTCATTGGTGCAGCTTTAAACCAGACGATGGACAGTTCAAGCACACGGAGCTGACTCGTTACATCGTCCTGCGTCCTTGCATCACCTTCTTCTTCTTTCCCCTGTAGACCCGACACCTTTTAAATACGGCTCTACGCCCTTCTCTCATTAACTATGCTAATTACTGAAATCCCTATCTGTGGAGACACAACA